AAAAAAAAAAAACAACAACCAAAGAAAGAAAAAAAAAGTAACAACACTACAAAACAAATGAACAAGAAGGAGGAAGCTACTACACCTCTCTGTTACTAGCTTGGACCCCTTGCTCTATCTCCCTCTCTGTGTCTCTTCTCTCATTCCTAAAAGTCCCCACAGGGGAAAGGTTCGTGTATGTAGGCACGTCACGGCTCTCGCTCTTCCGTCTCTAAAGTCGAACGCTCGAAGAGTTACAAATATTACTGATAATCGTGATACCGATTTGGTAAAGAATGATGCTTCAGTGTCTATGCTCGCAATGCCGCTGCTGCTGTTGCCGTTGTTGTTGTATGTCGGTGTCATTGTGAATTCATGCACCATACTACTGCCGTCTACTTGTGGGTCAAAAATATCCATGTGTGAGCATCTGTTCATGCGTCCCTACTCAGCGCCGGAAGTTGTTACTCAGCACCGCCTCCACCTGCGCGAGAATGCCGGTGTGATCGACCAAAAACGGCTCCGCTGTGCCATCCGCGAGAACGTAGTACTTCTGCCCCACGTTATGCCGCCTGTCACTCTGCCAACGAATGTCCATGAGCGCATTGCACACCACCTGTGAGCGGAGGTTGGAGAGGCGGAACAGCGTAAAGGAGCCGGAGGGGTCGGGGAACACTTTGCGCACGTACGCGAACTTTGTGTCCGTCGGTACGGAAGTACGGTCGCGCTGGTGGATGTACGCCGCGTGCACAGCGGCTGGCGTCAGCCCCTCCGCGCGCAGCCGCGCAATTTCCTTCACGAAGCCCATGATGCTCTCAAGGACGCTGCCGAGGTAGCGCTGTGCCTCTGACACGCTCAGCAGACGCACGTCCTCGTCGTAAAACGTCTGCACGTGCGGGTGCGGTTGGCTGCGGTTGGTACTCTCGTTGTCCATGCATGGCACGTACAACACCAGCTTCGAGTGGACGTCCACCACCGCCGTGCCGACGCCAGCCTCCGTCGGAAACATCGCGCCATAGCGGCCGGGCTGCAGGCAGTAATACATCACCACTGTCTCCTCATTGGTGAAGGAGTAGAAGCGTACCCAGCCACCGCTCAGGAAGTCATCCACGAAACGCTGTCGGTTCTGCTCCTCCCGCGGAAGTGCCAGGAACGCGTTATTTCCACCGGAACTGAGATGGGTACCGCCCGCGCCGAACTGACGCGTGTCGCCACCGGCGGGCGCTAGCGGATGCGATGGCTGCCGCGGCGTCGGAAAGTTCGGCGGTGGAATTGCCTGCGGAATCGGGCGGGGTGCATTCTGAGGCATGCCGGGGCCTTTGCGTGGCAGCGGGGGTCCGCCATACATCATGCCGCTGGTTGACGGCTGGCGCGGCCTCAGTGGCATCTGCGGCATCTGAGTAGTAGTAGTAGTAGTAGTAGTAGTAGCAGCAGCAGTAATGTTGGTAGTAATGGTAGTAGCATGACGTTCCTTCTGTGCTACATGGTGCTTTGCTGCTGGATTCTCCCTCGCGTTGTCTGCAGCAGCAGACACGGTGCTCGCGATACGACTAGCCGATGCGCTCCGCGGCACTCGAGGCTGCTTTTGCATCTCCTGTGGCTTTGCCGCTGTCTCTGCTCTAATAAGTATGACTCCTTGACCTGCTTGTTGTTGTTGTTGCTGCTGCTGCTGCTGCCCCTCCTGCAACTGCGGCTGAAGACTGGCTTCCCTTGCAGCCCGATGCTGCGCGGCTATACCGATGATATTACCCTTGTCGTTGAGCTTATAGGGAGAAGTGCTTCCTTCCCTCTGATTCTCTGCTCGTCCCTTCTTTAACGGTGGGGAATCCACATCTATTATCTCCTTCAGCTCCGCAGAGCTGCGTGGCTGAATTCTTTCCCCTTTCTTTTGCCTAGACAGACGAATTTCAGGTGGGAGCTCAAAAGAGAAACTGCCATTGGAATCATCGCCGCCTCGCCCTACTCCTGATGCTTTTTTCTGGCTTTCGCTCCCCTGCTGTGCCGAGTGGCGTCTGGCGGAGGACCAGTCCGGCATGTCCGGGAACGACGCATCGCGGTGCTGAAGGACCATCGCGCCCACGTCCTCTGGAGACGGCACGTGGCTGTCGCCAACGCTGATGCGACCGCCAGACGAGGCGCGGCCACCGAACGAGCTGCGCCCCGACGGGCGCCCACTGGACTGCGGTTTCGAGTCACCGGGAAGGCGCAGGTCCAGCAGACTGCCGCGCTGCGGCTCCAGCTCCTCCCACAACATGGTGTTCATCCGCGAGGATCTACGCGGAGACGGGCTCCAGCTTGGACCGCGGCACTGCAATGAGTGCGCCTGCAGCTTTGCAGCAGATGTAAACTTCTTTGCGCACGATACACAGACAAAATTGACATCTTTAAGGCGGCCTTGGTACGCGCACCTCATGCAGAGGTCGTAGTCGCACTTGTAGCAGCGGAATGCTGGGGTCTCTGGGTTAATCTTAAGGATCTCGCGGTCGCACACATTACAGTCAAATCCATTGTACCCATGTGGCATGGCGGTCAGTTTTGTCATGATGTGATGGTTCATGCATTTAAACTCCTCTATCTCGCTGTTCAGGTCTCGAGGAAGTGAGATCACTGGACGCAGAGACCAACGTGTTGCGGTTTCTCGCCCAGGGTACACAACAGCGTATTTGTCTGGCGACGCTCGGACTATTCTCGCATCCGCCTCCTCCAGCGGTGCGGGCGCCACCAGCATCACACTGGACTGTCTATGCGAGCGCGAATGGTGCTTTGCTGCACCCGCTCCAGCTCCCGTTTTTGCTGCTGCTGCTGCAGATGACGATGACAAAAGTGCCTCGCTCCCACTACGCCGATGCCGACGTGTTAATCTTTGATTTTGTACGATCGTGCGATATCTTGCCTCGTCCTCCTCAATGCTTTGCCTGGAGTCGTTCTCAGCTCTTGACAGCTTCAACAGCTCCACCATCACGTGTAGGGTCTCGTGGTGCTCGAGCACCAGCTGTGCACGGGCCCGCTGCTCCGTCAGCACAACACGGCGCAGCCCCTCCATGAGCACGTCGTCCACCGTCTTCTTTACAGCTTGTGACGGGAGGTTGTCGGCGACACGGCTAAGCGAGCGGCGTGTAGCGTTGTAGCGTGCGGGCGACGACCGCTCTAGCAAGTTCAGCTTGTGCAGCAGAGAGAGCGGGCACGACAGCGGCCGCCGGCTCCACACTGGATGTTGTAGCACCTCGTTCAGCGTCGCCCGCTTGGCCGGGTCGCGGTGGAGCGTGCGGTTGACAATATCGCAAAGCTCTGGGTCGCCGGACCAGTTCGGTGGCCAACTCCACGTGGCACCCGCGACAGCGTTGAAGAGTGTCAGTGTTTTCTGTGTCTTGTCCATGTCGCGCGTCCCCGACTTCTCCATCGCCTGTATGTACGGATTCATGCGCGTCAGCATGACGTAGAGCACCACACCGATGCTCCACGTATCCACCTCCTGTCCGTACTGCAGTGAGTGCTGCTCACCCGCGTTGGTCATGCGCTTGTACACCGCCTCAGCAATCTCCGGTGCCATGTACATCGCCGTGCCCGCCACCGTCTTGCGCGGCTGCGCCTCTGCGATGCGGCTCGACAGGCCGAAGTCTGTAATCTTCAGGTTACCGTCAAAGTCAAAGAGGAGATTCTGCGGTTTGAGGTCGCGGTGGATGCAGCCCTTGGCGTGCATGAAGGCGATGGTGTCAACGAGAGCCCAGCCCACCCACAGAATCTCCTGCACGCCAAGCCCGTGGTGGGCAATGACGTCATGCAGCGAGCGGCTGGCACAGCACTCCATCACGACGTACGCGCACTCCTCGTCGCGCCCAGCTGCGATGAACTTCACTACGTTGGGGTGCCGTGAGAAATGACTCATGAGCGCCACCTCCTTGCGCAGGCGCACCCAGTCGCTCTCTGACATTTTCTTGGCGGAGGCCTTCAGCGCGTAAAGCTCACCGCTGTTCGACCGCGCCGCATATACGCGACCGAACCCACCCCTTCCTAGGAGACTTGTTGTGGTGAGCTGCAGGCCCTCTTCCTCAAATGTGATAGTCATATGCTCTAGCGGCTGTTGCTGGTGTTCGTTGTTGTTGTTGCTGTTGCCGTTGCTGTCGTCATAAGGGTCGCCGCGGCGCACGTGGCAGCGCTGCATAAACGGCGTCTGGGTCGTGGGCGAAAGACCGGCAATGGCGGGTGTGTGTGAGAGATCGCGCGGGATGGACACCACGCCGCGTGACGTGGGCGGCGGTGTGCGCAGTCCCCCTCCTCCTTCGTCGTTACCGCCGTTACTATTGTTATTGTTGTTTCGGCTGCTGCTAGTGCTGCCGCCGTTGTTGGCTACGCGAGACGCCATCGCCCCTGTCCTTCTCTCTGTGCTCTCGCGTGTCCTTCTGTTCACTCTCTCTATATGTATAAAACCGGCACGCACAAGGTGTACTCTCGCCCCTGCTGCTGCTGCTGCTCCTCGCACCCACTCCCGAGTGCCACTCTCTCCCTCTCTTCCTGTCGACCTAAACGCTTTGCCTCGTCGTCGTCGTCGTCCTGCAGAGAACTGCCCGACGGAAACGGATACAGGAATCCCCCTCTTTCGTTGGTGCCTGTGTCACCGCACCGCAGGCGAAAGGAGAACACTAACACACACACACAGCAGCAAGCAAGCAAACGAGGCAAAGAAACGGACAAAAAAGAAGGAAGAGAAGAAAGGGGCCGTGGAAGAAGACAACAACAGGTGTAAGAAACACAAAAAAAACACTCTGAAACCGTAAAAAGAGACAAGACCTCGAAGAGACCGTCCCCCAAAAGAAATGTGTCATGTAAACATTACGAATACTTCTTCAACTTGATGCATCGGTAGTAGATGCACTTTGCTTACTCTCTCTCTCTTGCTTTCTCTCTCCCTTGTGTGTACGCGTTGCATCAGCTTACCGGAACAAATAGATACGAACCGCACAGTTATAGTGTTATAGCTATATATATATATATATATATATAT